CAGACTCTGCACTGCCCTGGGAGGGCGAGGGAGGCTACACGGCCAGAGGATTCCAGTAGGAGGTGGCTCAGATGGCTCTAGCCCCCTGAGAGGGAATGAGGGACCCAGGGCTTTGCTGCCCAGAGAAGAGGAAGGGGGATGGCTGTGCTATTCTCACATTCCTGTGGGGGCTTCCACGTTTCTGCCCAGGGCTGGCCAGGAAGGCATGGGGACATCATTCTGCCCACCAAGAGACTGGACCAGCCATTGGAGCAGGGCTTGGGGCAGTGGGGCCATGGCTGCAGGGTCTCTGAGTCCCTTCCCCCTCTGAGATGTGGAGAGTCGTGGGGCCCAGTGAGTCACTGTTTGATCCTGTTGTGCTAACTGATGATGCCATCTTCTCGTGTGGGGGCACCACTGCCTGGTGCAGCGACTCACAGGAAGACGTGGCTGCTGCACTCGGTGTCACTCCAGGCTGGGTTGCTGGGCTTCACGGGGCCTGAGGAGAGAGGGCCTTCCTGAGCTGGAGGGTGGAATGCTGTGCCTTTGGGGTCCCCCTGAACTCCACTCCAGGGCAAGTGTCAGTCACACATTCCACTTCTACTAGGCAAGCCTCTGGGGCTCTAACACTGTGTGACCTTGGGAAGTGTCTTTGCCTCTCTGGCCTCAGTTTCCTCATCCACACCATGGAAAGTGCCCTTTAAAATCTGAAACGCTTTGTCTGGGACTAATTCTTCCTAAGAAGGAAACTAGATAGAGGTATGTGGGTGGGGTTGGCAGAGGGCCTCACCAGTCCCCACAGGTGCTCATGTTAGTACCACCGTTAACCTGAACAGCCATTTCACGCAGGGTGCTGCTGGTCAGGTTAAGAAGGCAGGATGAGCCTACGCGCTGACATCTGGAGATGGTTTATTCACTTCCAAGGCCTGCTGTCATAGATAAGTTGGGGAACTGGACTCCACAGTACCAGTCAAGGACCCAGGTCCCTCTGTGCTCCCAGTGAAGTATTAACTAACTACAAATTTAGTCTAGAGTAAAAATACTATATAAGACAGAAAGATACTGTCTGTATATACTGTATAACTTTGTAACCTATGAGGAGGGAATCTGTTTAATGTATACTGTACTAATTAATAACATTACTAATGTATGCTATTACTATAAAAATATAAAAATAACAAGAAGAAACAAAAAGACAGCTCCTCTTTAAGGAACTAGCCTCACTGTTCTCTGAAATTACTGGCTTTTCTATAAATAAAAATGAAACTGTTAATCTCTCATCTCCTTCTCTGTTAATTGGCTTAAAAAATAGATGGAAGGACTCCTTGTTCCAGCAACATATTTTGGTGACATGAAAGGACCATCAGCTGGGCAGTGTGGTGAGTATAGACTCACCTACGGCCCTGCTGATTGGCCTGGACAGATGAGACCGGGACATGCCTCCTTGCCACTCCTTTTTTTGGGAATAACTGGTGTGGTGTCCTCCTGTTCTCGCTGTCATCACCTCACATTTGTAAAGAGATCCTTTTCACTTTTATTTCAGGTGCATGTAGGGGTTTGAGTCCCCGTCTGGTTTGAGTCCCCGTCTGCTGGTGCACAGAGGTTAGAGTCCCGGTATGATGGGCACAGGGGTTAGAGTCTTCATCTGGATGTGCACAGGGGTCTGAGTCCCTGTCTAGCTGTGCACTGGGGTTTGAGTCCTCGTCTGGTTATGCACAGAGGTCTGAGTCCCTATGTGGTTGTGCACAAGGGTCTGAGTTCTTGTCTGGTTATGCAGTAGGGTTCAAGTCCCCATCTTGTTGTGCACAGGGGTCTGAGTCCCCATCTGGTTGTGCACAGGGTTCAAGTCCCATCTGGTTGTGCACAAGGGTTTGAGTTCACATCTAGTTGCCTAGGCATTGGTGTTTTCTGTGGGGCTCAACCATGAGGGCCCAGTTGTCAGTAACTACTTCATAGAATTCAGACAGGTTTAAAGAATTAACACCTATTTGCTGCTTGGAAGTGTGCCTAGCACATACACCTAGTTCCAGAGGAAGTGCCATGTTGAGTACCCTGGCTCCTTTATGTATCACTGGGCCAGGGACACATCACACCTTCTTGCTGCTTGAGCAGTCTGGTGACAGAGCAGAGGGCTGGGGTGGGTGGGGATCCTGCCTCTGCTCAAGTTTGTATTCAGTCCACCGTGGCTGTGTCTGAGGAGCTTCCCTGCATAGAACAGGGTGAGCACCCTGCACATCTGGGTATCCCTGCTTGTGTGTGCTTGTATACATGTGTGCCTGTACATGTATGTGCCTTTACACGTGCGTGCACGTTTGCTTTGTGCCCTTTCCTGTCCCTTGTCTGAATCCTGATGGATCTGATTGCCTCTGTATATCTGAATGCTTTGCAGAGTGAGTGTGTGTGTGGTTATAGATAGCAACAGTCTTATAAGCACGTCTGCACCACTGAGTGCCTGCATCTGCATTTATCTTTGTGCTGCGTGCATCTGTGTCTCTGGGAAGTATGCGTGTGGAGTTGTCTGCTGGTCCTTGAAAGAATCTCCATCTTGTGTACCCTGTCATGGGAGTTGTGTTGACACTTGCAGGCGGGAGCCCTGAGGGTAAATAATCTCTTCATCGCTGTGGAGTTGGTGTCTCTTTTTGCTCATTTCTGTGGACCTGTTTCTGTATATTGTGTGTCACAGACAGAAAGATAGGGAGAGTCAGAAATTGACTAGCTCTCAAAACATAAACCCCCTCCCTGTTTGCCTCCTGCCACCCGCTGCCCCTCACCCAGAGCCATTTGCACCACTGGCTCTTCTGTGCCATCCCCCTGGTTCTGATTAGGTTAAACCGGAAACTTAGAATCCAAACTCTATGTGAATGTCACCTGGAGAACTTTAAACAGCTCTGATGCCTGGACCACAGCTGAGAGATTCTGACTCATCTGGGCAGGAGTGTTTAGGGAAGCTTCTCAGGTCATTCCGGTGGACAGCCAAGGTTGTATGCTGGGCCCTGAGGCCAGGGTTTGGGGAGGAGGCAGTAAGTGCCCACTGGTGGGCCACCCCATCCTGAAAGGGTAGCGCTGCCATCATATCAGGTGAGCTGAGAACAAGGAGCTCTGTTTTCATTTCTTTGGCTAGAGGTTGTTGAAGGTGCAAGAGAATCAAACCTTGATCTCAGAGACCTTCTGCTTTGTGTGGCTCCTCTCATCCCTCTGCTGGCCAGAAGAGATGACCTCCAGCTTCTGTTGAGGGTTGCTGGGCCCAGCCATCTCTGTTCTAGCCAGGCAGGTCAGGAGACCATCTCTTTGCCAGCAGGTGGAGGTGACAGAGCCCTCTGAGACCACCAATGCCAGGTTCTCCTAGTGGCAGCCTGTAGCCATCAGGGGTATGACGGGCCTTGGGAATAGGTAAAGAGAATTCTGAAGCCTGAGGGCCCAGGAGTGCTGGGGCCAGTGCTTCTCAGCCTGCTCCATCTTCCCTGACCTACAGGAGAAGGAGCATTGCCATGGCCCCCTGGCCTTCTCTAAGCATCTTGGGGATACCCAAGGCCTCCCTCAGCATCTCTGAGTGAGCCCTGAGCACTCAAGGGTGCCTATATGAGCTTGACCTTGAACCTTGAGAGAGGGAGGTGCGGTTAGGCAGAGAGCCAGGGCCTGAGGGTGTGGCAGCTCTCCCTGATGGTGGAGGTGTGCAGAGACTAATGCCTGGGATGTGCATGAGAAGAGTTTGCTCCAGAGCCCCCCATCTCCCATCCCATGGCCTCCTGAACCAGGCACCTGTGGCTTAGCACTGCTCCTGATATGGGCCTACTCAATCTTTTTGATAACAATTTAATAATAATAATTTAAAAATACCTGTCGCTGTGCCAGGCCTATTTAGCAGTGCCTGTGTGATGAATGCCTTGCTGCCCCATTTTTTGTTGTTGATGCTATTTTAATAAGGCTGCAGTGAATTTCCTTGCATATGCTTCTCTTTGTCCTAGGGCAAATATTTCCCAGATGTGGCATTGCTGGATTGAAGGATGTGTGTATTAATGATCAATTTCAGAAGCAGAGTACTCTTCCCTTGGGAGTGGGCTGTGCTCTTGCAGCCTCCTCTCTGGCTTGGCTCCCTGTAACCCATCTGGTCCCTAGCAGCAGGCCTGGTCCTCGTGGACCTGCCGCCTTAGAGCTCCTTGCAGCTCTGAGGCCTGAGCACACTCTTCAGCTGTCACTGTGTTTTCTATGTCATGGTTCGAAGCTTTATCTGGAAGGCAAAGTGGGATGAAGTAGGATGAAAGGAGGGTGTTTTTGTTAGGGTACCAGGCCAGGCAGCTGGAACAAAGAGGCTATTTAAGAGTGTAAATTAATTAGAGGTTCTTTTCTCTCTGGCATACAATTTGTAGCTAGGTGGGTTGTCCAGGCGGGAGGGGTGGCTGGGCTCTGTAAGATCACTCTTTTCACTCAGTCTTGCTCCCCAGCCCCTCAGATAATGTCCTTGTCTGCACTGTCAAAGCTAGGTCCAGTGTTTGGGAAGGGCAACAGAGCAGGAGCAGAGAGAATGCCATACCCTCACCGACAGTGGGTGCAGATGTGGCCCCATGCCACTGCCACCCACGTTCCTTAGACGTGAACATCATCAGGAGTCTGTACCTCTGAACAAGAGAGAGGCCAGAAAACGTTGTCTTTAGGTGGGCATGCATGTGCCAGCTACAGCTCCGTCACTGTGGGGGAAGGGGAGAATGTAAAGACCTGGGGACACAACTCAGGTCTTCTGCCGAGAAAGCCACTCCAAACCATCCAAGTAGATCAGCTGAGCTGTGCCAGCGTGTGACCACAGTATCCCCAGCACCTAGCTCAGACAAGGTGCTCAGTGCCTGTTTGCAGGATGGAAGAATAAAGAACAGGTCGGGTACAGGCAGGGAGGTGGGTTACCCTTGGGGACCGTGAGCTGAGCTGTAGGGAGGGAAGGAGGGTGCAGTAAGGAAGGGGAGGTGGTCCCTGCCCCTCCTGCTCACTGAGCTCACAGGATTCATGCCTTTTCTTCCTCTCTAGCCTGCAGACAACCCTGAGGCTGACCAGCAGCTGCTGTCACTGGGAGGCCACTGTGCTGGCCAAGCAGCATCATGGCCGGCGTTGTGCGAGTCTCCCTGACTGCTGTCCTCCTGCTGCCTATGGTAAGGGCCCAGGATCCCTACTGCCCATGCCTGGCTGGAACCTGGGGCTTAGCTGAGCCCCCTCCCACAGAACCTGTGCCATGTGTGCCTCCAGCTAAGTCCTCCACCTGGCTGTTATCTTTGGCAGCACTAAACTGGACCACTCTGTACCTTTGTATGAATTAGAAAAGGTGCCCTTTCCTTAGGACCCTGTACTAATTTGACTGGAAATTGTTACAAAATGTACAAATCTATTATGATCATGACGTGTGGCAACCTTTAGACTTGTGCAGTACACACCCTGCTCTACTGTATGCAGGGGCCCCTGTTGGACCTTCAGAAGCCTCTTTCCATCTTCTAGTCTGCAGACCACGAGGGTGCTGCCAGGATAAGACTCAGAAGCCTACCCTCTTCTCATGCCTCCCCCTGAGCAAGGGTGGGGGTGGGAGTGGGCTGGGGAAGATTCCCAGGTATTGTCCTACCACTGGACAAGCAATGGGTAAGGCTGTCCTCAGAGTCCCAGGTTTTAGTGCTACTTCTGCCTGACTCACTGTGACACCATGGATAAACCTAACCCTCCCTGCAGGAGCTGCCTGCACATTTGTGAATAGTCAAGATTGGACTGTTTCCCTAGAACATGGCCCTTGGCAGCTCAGATGCCTTGTGATTGCCTCTCCACTCACTGACATCCCTTAGGGAACCATCCCTGCCCTGGGGCTTTGAGCTAAAGTGACAGCATTTGACGCAGCTGTCATGATAGCAGTGCATGGGCTGTGAAGTTACTTGGGCCTGAGCTTGAATCCTATATCTGCTACTGACCAGCTGTGGGACTGTGGGCTGGAGTTTCTTAACTTCTCTGAGCCCCAGTTTCCTCTTCTATAAATGAAATTGGCAAGTAGGCCCCACTGAATGTGACCACAGCTCCTCTGCTGGCAGCTGCCAGGGGTCCCTCCCTTCTGAGCCCCTGGGAGGGAGGCAATGAGCCTTCTCAGCCTGAATCTCTCCCTGCCACTTGCTTGTTCCCCTAAAGTGCTGTAGTAGTCTCATGGCCTCTGGAGTCACACAGCCTGGCTCTACGGTCCCTAAGATGTGTGACTCTGAGCAAGTTACTTAACATCTCTGTGCTTAAGTTGCTGCACCTGTAAAATGGAAAAAATAATAAAAATAGTGTCTACTTTATAGTACTTAAGATGCATACACATATATACACATGTGACACTGAGGATGATGCGTATGCCTAATAAAGGGCTATATTATGTGTTTGCTAATATTATTGTAAGACATGGAAATTAAGACCCAGAGAGGGAAGGGGATTTGTCCAAGGCCACGCATTGATTCTTCATCACTCCCCTCTTCTTGCTTTTGTCCCCCCTTCCCTTAAGACACTGGGGCTTTGCCAGTAGGAGGGCTTGTACATGGGTGCCGCTCCCACCAGCTGCCCCACGTCCCATTTGCCTCCCTCAGGCTGCCACTATGCACTCCAACTGCATGGTCAAGAAGGAGCAAGCCATGTGTCTGGAGAAGATCCAGAGGGCCAATGACCTGCTGGGCTTGAATGATTCCTCCCCAGGTAAGCAGGGTGGAGAGGGTGCCGTGCCACCAGCACACCTAGGCAGGCCAGTCATCAGAACTGGTCTCCTTACCTCCTGCCCACCTTTCTGCCAAGAGTGGTCTGCCAAGAGAAGTCGAGGGTGCAGGTCTTTGGGACCTTCAGAAAGCCCTTTAGGGCACTGGTGTCCTGTTCTGGGCACTGATGCTGGGGTCACCCTCTTGGGGGCATCTCTGCTCTGGATGCCTCAGTGCTGTTCTTGGTGGCTGGATGTGGCTGCCTTCTCTCCCACAGCGGTGGGACTGAGCTGGGCAGCAGCTGATAAAGAGCTTGTTAGTAGGCAGCTTAGGCCTGGTGGCAGCAGAGACACAGCTGTTGCAATGGCTGAGCTATATAGAGCACTTGGTCAATGCAGGGCACATTGTGTGGGGTCATTTCCCACCTCCTCAGAAGCCAGAGAAGAAAGTGTAGTAGGAAGCCCGTCCTGGAGACCGTCTGCTGCTGTCTTCTCCTGGGCTGCTGTGGGCACATGGGGATGGGACTGCTTCTTCATGCTGGATGGGCCACATAGTGCAGGACATTCAGCGTTCTTAGCCTCTCCCCTTAAATGCCCAAGATCCTACTGACAACCCCCAAATGCCCATTCGACATTTCAAATGTCCCAAGGGAATGGCACAACCCCCATTAAAAGCGAGTGGCCCCCTCTCCTTCTAACCCCATCACCGTGGGGTTAGATGGGAGGCCGAGGCTCGCAGAATAAAGGTGCTCTCAGCTTCTGGCCTGAGGGGACATTGGGGCTTTGGGGGTGCAGGTGTCTGGAGGCCGCTCCAGCCTTACCGTTGCTGGAGAGCTGGCTTTGCTTCATGTCCGCCTGCGGGTGGGGCTATCTGCTCAGGCCAGAGGGATCCACTTTTCCCACTGGATCCTCCCTGCTCCTCTGGGCACCATCTGTTTAAACACTTGATTAATCTGCAGCCCAGTTAAATGTAATGGTCCCACTGGACCAAGCTCCCTGGCCAGTTGCTTCTCAGTGAACATTAACTGGAGCTACTCCGGGCCACATCAGCCTCTCCCTCCAGCCCAGCCCTAGCCCAGGCCAGCAGGGGATTCTAGGCCCTACCAATGAGGGAAACTGAGGCAAAGAGCCCAGATGAGTGCAGGGAGGAGACCAGGAGAATAGAAGAAGAATAACTGGTTCAAGCGTCTTGTTTGGGGATGAGAAAAGGAGCCCTGAGAGCAGCCACTGTTTAGACCACATGGGGGGTCAGGTTGAGGTGGGTCTGGAACCCAGATGTCCCAGGTCATTGTTCCCACATGGAATGTCTCAGATGCATTTGGGGTTGAGCAATAAAAGCACCTGGGAGGGAAGAAAAGGATAGAGGTGGGGGATGGGTGAGACATGCAGGGTAAGCCTTGCATGGTTTAATCACACACCTATCCATTGAGCACTGGGCTGAGAGAGGGCAAGACAGGCTTGCCCATAAGGACATCCTGGCAGAAGCAAGTGAGATGGGTGTAATGACAGACACCATCCCAGGAGGGGGCATGCCAGTGCTGGGGTGCAGGCCTCACCCTTGGCGCGCTCAGGAAGGGATGTGTTCTGTGTGGGAAGGACTTATGGAGAAGGTAGCAGTGAAACTAGATCCTCAGTTCTCAAGCCTTGTTATACATCAGAAACACCAAGGGAACTTTTAGTAAAATGAACTCAAGCCACAATCCAAGCCAATTAAATCAGAACCTTCGGTCCTTCATAGTCACCATAAGTTTTAAAAGCTCCCCAGGCGATTCTAATGAGAGGCTAATATTGATAGCCCTTGAGCTGGGTCCAAGGGATGGGTGGGCATATTGATGGCAGGTAAGAATTGAGGGATGGATTGATGGGAGAACATTCTAGGCTGAGAGAACCACAGGAGGCTCATAGATGGGAGGGTGTAGTGAAGATCTGGAACTTTGAATTGGAGTGAGTGGGGGTGAACTAGTGAGGGGGTGCAGCTGAGGCCTGGGGGCAGGTATCGCATGCTCGTCTCCACAGAAGGTGAAAGTGGGGGTACAGCAGTGGCTGGCTGGCTACCACGGTGTCTGCATCCCTGCAGCTGCCCCCAGGACTGTGGTTCTCCTTGGGGACCCATAAATCAGCCCTGGCCATGGGAAGGCAGGGTGTGAAGGATTCTCCATGAGGGGAGGGAATAGCTCACCTCTAACCCTGACCACCCAGACAAGAAAGGAGGCTGTACCTTCCCACAGTCTGCCTGAGTCATAGGGTGGGGCTCCACAGGACGGAGCTGGGAGCTAATTAAGTAGAAGCAAAGGTCAGGCATTAGGTGGGAACCCGGAAAAGACTGAGGGCCCAGCTGGACCACCAACTCCAAGGCTTTCCCTACTCTAGGCCTCAGGAGCAACTCTGCTAAAATGAGGGGAGTAGGATGGAGTGTATTAATAGCTAGTACTCTGATAGACTTCTCGTGTGCCAGGCACCATGCTAGAGCTTTACTTTGGCACCAGAGCAGCCAGGGGTGTTGGGTCTGTTATCACCCCTATCTTATAGATGGAAACTGAGGCATAAGGAGGTTGTATGCCTGGATTGAAGGCACAGCCCTTTAAGAGGCAGAGGTGCAACTTAAACTTAGCCAGCTTATGCCCTCGACTACTGGACACACTGCCTCAGAACAGCATGTTCTGAGTCCCAGCCCCCCAGTACCAGTCACGGGACCTTTGACTTGCACTTAACACTTTAATTTTCTTGTCTACAAAATGGAGGAAAAAATAATACCCACCACAAAGGATTATTCCATTAAATGATAAAATCTGTGAGAAATGCCAAGGACAACATGTGGAATTTGCTAGGCATTCAACAGATACTGAGCTATTAGGAATTGATATATTGGCCAGGAGGTGGTAGGTCATGCGTATAACCCCAGCACTCTGGGAGGCCGAGGCAAGACAGGTGGATTGCTTGAGCTCAGGAGTTTGAGACCAGCCTGAGCAAGAGTGAGACCCTGTCCCTAATAAAAATAGAAAACGTAGCTGGGTGTGGTGGGCACCTGTAGTCCCAGCTACTCGGGAGGCTGAGGCAGGAGGATTGCTTGAACCCAGAAGTATGAAGTTACAGTGAGCTATGATTATGCCAGGCACTCTACCCAGGGTGATAAGAGTAAGACTGTCTTATAAAAAAAAAAATTGTCATTTTACAATGTTTGGGGTCTCCAGGACCTTCCACCTCCTGCTAATTCTGTTATTCTGTGGAGTGCAGAGACATCTCTAGGAAGCAGGTCAGTAGTGCCACTTGCTTGAACAATCTGGAAAGGTTTGTGGAAGAGCAAGGGAGGGGTTGGGAACCAGATCTGGCTTCATAGGGCAGAAGGGGAGGAATTGGAAGGTAGGGGTGACCTGAGGAAAGGTGGGGAGGGAGCTGTGAGTACAGCAGGGCAGGTGGGAACCTGAACAGCCATAGCTTAAAAACTGGGTGGCAAGTGCTCAGTCCTCTCTCTCTCTCTCTCTCTCTCTCACACACACACACTCACACACACACGCACACACAAGAGCTTATTGAACCTCACCAACATATGGGCTGGGTAGAGTTGGGCCCCATTTCATGGGTGAAGCTATGTAAACTAAGAGAGGTTAGGTTGCTTGCTGCTACCTAGTAAGCGAAGATGTGCATTCGGATGGTTCCAGAGTCCCTGCCCTTTACTACTAGGCTGCATTGTAACTTAGAAGAGGAACGAGGACCTGCTCCCGCCCTCAGATTTCCCCAAGGGAGTGGAAATGCTGCTCGGAAGAGGAGTTGGGAGTGGAGAGCCTTAAATTCTAAGGCATGCACTTTTTTTTAGCTATGAAAAGGCAGAAGGGTGTTTGTTTTGCTGTGGCCCAGGATAGCCTAAGTTCTCAGCCTCTAGTGACCTGCTTGGGAAGGAGAGAGGGCAGGCCAAGGTGAGGGAAGGCCTTAGGGAAGGCTGACCTGAGAAGGCATGTCCATCCAGACTTGCTGTGGACTTGTGGTCTGAAGAGCTTTGCTTTATGGGCTGAGATTGGAGGACCCCGGTTAAGAGGACCTCAGAGCAGGTGGCCTCTGGACCCCTTTCCAGGCCTCAAGTTCAGGGAGAGTATGGACTCTACTCTCAGCAGCCAGGGAAGGGCCTTAATTTATCCCCCTGGGCCTCTTAAGAGTGCCTGCCTGTTCCTTGGGGCATCCTCATTGGAGCTGGGCTTCTTGGATCCAAGTTAAACGTATTTGTGAAAGATGGGCAGAACTCCGTGCAGCACTTTAGAGCCTACTGGGAACATTTACAGTAATGTCTAGGCTCCTCCCCAGACGAATGTCATCAAGAGGGTACGTTTTAAAAGCCTGTAGCTGCCTCTAAAGTGTATGCAGGTTTGAGAACCACTGGCCAGAGAGCATACCCCAGTGCACTGGTCAGCCAGGCTGGGGCACTCACTCTTGGCCATGGGTCAAACCTGAGAGTGACAAAGAGTCAGTTGTGCATCATGTCGTTGATCTGTGCCAGCCCTTCCCTATGTCTCTCCTGCCCATGCTGTGCCCAGGCACACACACCAGGCATGGAACACTGGTAAGAGGTCAGCTGATGTCCTTGAAATGCACTTGAAAATGTGGAATGAAGCCTACTAGTTTGTTCCACTGTATGAGAATCAAGGCAATGCTTTATATGTATTATTTTAATGTATTTTTATATATTTATATGTATTTTGTCTGTCTCCCATAATGTTCCAGATCTAGTAGAGTGAGTCAGTAGGAGTGAGAACTCTGATCTTTTAGAAGTGGTGTGTGAACAAGGCACTGTGTGTGTGTGGCAGTGGGGGAGGGTTCCTTTTTTCTCATGGGCCTATCCACTGTAAATAAAACTTGGGATAGTAATGCACAGAGTGGCCTTCAGAGTGGAGGCCGGGAGACAGAGACACGCTGAGGGGAGGCACTGGAGCTCAGCAAACTGGTGAAAGATAGAGGCCTGTGAGTGGCATGGGGAGAGGAGCAAGCTTGCCGAGCAGGTGACTTTGTCCACAGT